AACCAAGCAAGTGAAATACCTGTATGACAAGAACTTCAAGAGAAGATATAAGAAGATGGAAAGACCTCCCAAGTTCATGGATCACTGAGATTAACATAGTAAAAATAGCTATCCTACCAAAAGGAATATGCAGATTCAATGCAATTTCCATCAAAATTCCAACACAATTCTTCACAGAACTTGAAAGGACAATTCTCAACTTCATATGGAAAAGGAAAAAACACCAAGATAGCTAAAACTTGTATAGTAAAAGAGCTTCCAGAGGTACCACCATCCCTGTTTTCAAGCTCTACTACAGAGTTTAGAGCAATAAAAACAACATGGTATTGGCATTAAAAAAGGCAAGTCGATCAATGAAGATGAAACCAAAGCCCAGACATAAATCCATACATCTATGGACACCTGATTTTCAACAAAGAAGCCAAAATTATACAATGGAAAAAAGAAATCATTTTTAACAAATGGTGCTGGTCTAACTGGATGTCGGCATGTAGAAGAATACAAATAGACCCATGTCTATCCCCATGCACAAAACTCAAGTCCAAGTGGATCAAGATCTCAATATAAATCCAGATACACTGAAACTGATAGAAAAGAAAGTAAGAAATAGCTTTAAGTGCACTAGCATAGGAGACAACTTCCTGAACATCAACAGCACAGACAGGAAGATAGACGATTAATAAATGGGACCTAAAGAAATTGAAAAGCTTCGGTAAGGCAAAGGACACGGTCTAGGACAAAATAGCAGGTTCCAAAAGGGGAAAAGATCTTCGGCATCTCTACATCTAACAGAGGGCCGATTTTCAAAATATATAAAGAATTCAAGAAACTAGACAACAAACCAAATAATCCAATTAATAATAGAGTACAGATCTAAACAGAATTCTCAGCAGTAGAATCCCAAATGACAAAGAAACATGTAAGAAGATGTTCAACATTCTTAGCCATCAGTGAAATAAATGCAAATCAAAAAACTCAGATTCTATCTTAGACCTGTCAGAATGGCTAATACTAAAAACACAAGTGACAGCTCATGGTGGAGAGGATGTTGTGGGAGTGCAAACTTGTCCAGCCACTTTGGAAATCAGTGTGGCAGTTTCTCAGAAAACTGGAAATTGAGTTACCTCAGGACCCAGCTATACCACTCTTGGGTATATACTCAAAGGATGCTCAATCATACCACAAGGACACTTGCTCAGCTATGTTCATAGTAGCATTATAGCCAGAACCTGGAAACAACCTAGATGTCCCTCAACCAAAGAATGGATAAAGAAAATGTGGTACATTTACAAAATGGAGTACTACTCAGCTGCTAAAATCAATGAAGGGAACTCAAAAAAAAATCATCCTGAGTGACACCCAGAAAGACAAACATGTCATGTACTCACTCATAAGAGGATACTAGCTGCCACAATCCACACACCCAGAGAGGTTAGGTAACAAGGAGGACCCAAGTGCGGACACTTGGACCTCCCTGGTAAGCGGAAATAGAAGAGATCTCGTGGATGGACTAGGGACTGGTGGGGATGAGAACATGAGGGATCAAGTTGGGATGAGTTGGGGGAGAGAGTACTCAAAGAGAGGACTAGTAAGGGGATCATTTCAGGGTCAGGTGGAAGCTTGGTGCAGGGGAAATTCCCAGGAATCACCCCAGCTAAGGCCCCCCAGCAATAGGGAATACTTAACTGGAACTGGCCATCTCCTTTGCTCTGGCAACACTACCAGGAATTGGGAACCAACTCAGACACACAGCCTTCAACCTATAGTCTGTCCTGCCTATGGCCATATAGGCTGGGATAATAGAATGGAGTGGCCAACCAATGACTGGTCCAGCCTGAGTCTCATGACACAAGAGTGAGCCCACCTCTGACACTGCCTGGGGCACCAGGACCTAGAGGCTGGGTGGCCCAGAGACCTAGGATAGAACCAAACACAACTGAAGATAAAATGTCAAAGCAATGATATTCTGCTATACTCGTAGGTCGAGGCCTAGCTTAACTGCCATCAGAGAGGCTTCATCCAGCTGATGGAAGCAGATGCAAACCCACAACCAAACTTTAGGTGGAGCTCAGGGAATTCTGCTGCTGAAGAGAGGGAGGAAGGATTGTAGGAGCCAGAGAGGCAAGGAAACCACAAAAAAAAAAAAAAAAAAAAACAAACCTACAGAGTCAACTAACCTGGGCTCATAGGGGCTCACACAGACTAAATCAACAACCAGGGATCCTACATTGGCCTGACATAGGCATTCTGCATACATGTGACAGTTGTATAGTTTGGCCTCCTTATGGATGTCCTAACAGCAGGAACAGGGGCTGTCTCTGACTCTTTTGATGGCTTTTTGGGAACCTATTCCTCATACTGAGTTGCTTTGTCCAACTTTAATACAGGAGAAGTGTTTAGTCCTGCCACAACTTGATATGCCATGTTTGTTTTATATCCATGGGAGGCCTGTCCTTTACCAAACAGAAATGGAGGAGGAGTGGATGGAGATGGCAGAGGGGAGGTGATAGGAGGAACAGGGAGGAGAGGAAGGAGGGGAAACTTTGGTCAGGATGTAAAATCAATCAATCAATCAATCAATCAATCAATAAACAAATAAATATTAAAAATAAGAATGAAATCAAGAAAAAACTTAAATCTTATAATTAAATGAAAATTAAAAAAGACAAAAATAAATATAAAAATGGTAAAATATGGGAAGTAGAGGGGCTAAAAGATTAAAAGGGAACGAGGGTAAAAGATGGGACAGAGAAATGTGGTAGTGAGTAGGTTAAACAAACCTAAGGGTGTTTGAAAAATATGGAAACCCACTTGTTGAAAATTAACACAATTTTAAAAAGAAACAATGGAATTCTCTTTTATGGATAAACAATGTTTTTCCCAGGAGACAAGGTTCATTATTTAAAATTTTATTGCAAGGCATGAGCTACCTCCCTATGAGTTACTTACTGGTCAGGGAGCACCAGAGGTATCTAAAATAACACAAGCTGTTGCACTGCCCTTGGTTACCCACCATAACTACATAGTAAGACTCTATTAGGGAGAACACCATAGACTTTGGCTTCATGACACAGAGGAATCAATTTCAGACCACCTGGGAAGCTTTCTCCCGCTGGGTACCTTTCTGGGTACCTTTCAGAGTGTCGTAAGAGGCAGGCTGCTGGGGAAGGTAAGGCATCAATGATCTCATCCACTGTTGGGTCCTGCAGGCTACAGTCTCATTCTGTGAGGCAAAATGTGCCCACAGGTGCAGAAATGGTATGGCTGTTATGGCGGTAACTATGATTTATGGTTGAATTTGAGGCCCTCTCCAGAGGAAGTGGGGCTAGAGAGATGGCTCAGCGGTTAAGAGCACTGCTTGCTCTTCCAAAGGTCCTGAGTTCAATTCCCAGCAACCACATGGTGGCTCACAGCCATCTGTAATGAGATCTGGTGCCCTCTTGAGGAAGAGACCTGATCAGTCGTCTTCATCAACTTAGACCGTGAAACCCAACATGGGCAAGTTCAACAGAACCACCATATACTGGCTGCCCACGCATGCTTCAGCATTGCCAGGGCAGACATTTCATTCCTTTCTTTTTTTCATTTTCCACAGAAAGTTATTTCACACCTGTTACTGTGGCCTTCTCAAAAGCCCATAGGTTAGAAGGTCATAGGCCCTAGGGTATAACCTGCTGCTATTGGTTTGCTAAGTGGTCATCTTGCCAAATTGCCTTCTAAATATTTGCTTAAGCCTCGTAGACCTGGGCTGCTCTCCACCTTGGTCAGAGAAGCTTCTTTTCACAGCAAGTGGAAGCTAATGCACAGTTTTCTCACAACATTCAGTGAGGAGAATAAAAGATTGATTAATCGCACTGCGCGAAAGAAGACACTTACATTAATCCTACTACCACTAAAGCTCAGGGATATGGCAGAAGAATGGAAAGATAGGAAAAGACAGGATGTGTGCTGTCAAGTGCTGTCTTTTGGGCAGGACATGGCCTCTGTACTTAGGCGCTCACAGTGGCTGTGGTTACCTTTAGAAGCTCAAGCCGGCCAAAATCCCAGCCTAGACGGGGTAGATGATGGCCACGGCCCACCCCCTACTGAGATGCTATTGGTAGTAAGCAGTTGCTGAAGTAGGGACAATCACTGCTTTTGAGGACATGGCCACTGATAGGTGTCCCACACTCTAGAGGTTGGTCACACACCCATGCATATGTGGGTAGCATTAACTGAAATAGTGGGTTATCAAAAAAGAAAGATATATATTTGGGGTAGTATGGGGACTATGTGAAAGTCTATGACTGAGTGAAAGGAGGGTAGATATAGTTACGTTTCATTGTATAAATACACATGAAATTTTCAAAATTAATATTTTAATAAGAAAAATCCTGATGTGTGGACAAGGAATGATTTTTAAGATATGGTGTTCAATGAATCAAACATTTTTATAAGGTGACAGGCATTATATGCTATTGTACATTTAAAATGGTTGCTAAAGTTTGGGAAGGATTAAACTACAGGGATACCCAGCCACAAAGAGTTTTGACATTCCCAAAGGCATGCATGGGAGACACTTGTGCTTTTGATTTTGTACTGGGTAGATATGTAACCTATAAAAATGAATAGAGCTTAAATTGGCAAATAATACAAATTTGGAAATAAAAAGCAAACAAGCAAGCAGGTACCCACAAGCACTGAAGAGACCTTTTCCAGAGCCAACTCAGGTGTCTGTGCTGTTGTTATCTAGAATGTTTTGTGTGCCTTCAGTTGCCTTCTTTCCAAATAGCTGCTCGCAATTTTGCCTGATTTTTTGAGCAGCATGACTCCTCCCTCCAGCCTCATATTTTTTTACCTTTAACGTTCGACTCAGGAAATCGGAGTTGAGTGAAAATGATTAGAAAAGACGAATACATACTTTCCTTGGCCTTGAAACCCCAGACTTTCAAAGTGAGCCTCATATCGCATCACCTTAGAACAGCCTAGGATACCCCAGAGGACGAGAAGCAAAGGAAGACTTACCTACAGGAGATGACAACCTCAGTCTCGTAGCTGGACTTCAGGATTCTGTTCAACTCATTGTTTGCATCCTCTAAATGGCGGATGGCAGCAGCCTAGGGGTAGACGGAGGGGTCAGATTCTGAAGCCCCATCTCTTCACAAGCCCGCCCCCAACATCTTTACCAGAAACTCAACTGCCTTTCTGGAAAGAAATTATTTTGAGTCTCAAATCATTCTAAAAATGAGAGGCGCTCTCTGTAAAATGTCATATTCTACAGATAGTAAATAATAAATCTATAATTCTGATTCATAACTTTCCAATACCAGAAGTTTACCTTTTCAAGAAGGTTACTAAGAATACAGTATCCACTCATGAAGTACTGAATATGTGACTGATTGTGTTCTAAGTTATATGTACTTATCATTTTTATGTACTCTCAATATCTACCCTGAGAGGAAAAGATTGATTTTATGCCCATTTCACAGAAGAGAAAACTGAGGCACAGGAAAGGAATTAATCAGTAGCACTACTTAGATTTGATTTCAGGTAGCCTGACTCTTGAGTCTGTATTCCTAATTATAAGTTTTAGACCTTCCTATCACTGCCAAGTTCAAGCATCTACCAAGTGCATATACTTATATGTTTTTAGTATCTTTCAAGGTTTACTGAGTCACAAACCTAAGTCAGGATCATCTCTAGTCTGAATAATGTCAGCACCTCCCAGTTTTTCTCCTTGCCTCTGATCTTTAATCATTGTGTTGCCTCCTCACACACCTCGGGGTACAGCTCAATGATGGCTAAACAAACTTAATGAGATGTTAGTGGTGGACACTCCCATTTCAGCTTCCTAATGTGCTTGGAAATTTCTGTATTAAGTAAGGGGGAAAGATGGCTGGGAGATGGCTCAGTTGATAGAGCACTTGCACCAAAAGAATGAACACTTGAGTTTGAATCCCCAGAACCCACATAAAAAAAGCCTAGCATAGTAATCCCAGTGATGTACATGAGAGAGGAGGCAGAGACAGGCAGAGCCCCAGAATCTTGTCAGCTAGCTGGCCTTCCTAGGCTGTGATGTTCCAGGCCAATGAAAGACTGTCTAACAGAAAGATGGAAGGTGCCAAGGACCACAAACCAGAATTCATCCTCTGACCTCTGACCACAATTGTATGCTGTGCACATGGACATCTACCCCCTACACACACAAACACATTCCCCCAAACTCTTCTAGAATTCTCATTACTCTCAGGATTAAAATCCAAATTTCCTACTGTGCTTTATTAATTAGCCTTTCTTGGGTTGATTATTTCTCTAGTCTCTCATTTTGTATGTGCCATCCTTGATCAACATGCCCTGGACATTATGAACATGTTTCAGTTTTGTTAATATTATACAGCCTTTATTGTCTTTGGGACAGCATAAAAACAGGTCTTGTGATGGTTTGAGGAAGAATGGCCACCATGGGTTCATATATTTAAATAATTAAGGAATAGCACTGTTTGAAAGAATTAGGAGGTGTGGCCTTGTTGGGGGAAGTATGTCACTGGGCGTGGGCTATAAGGTTTCAGAGGCCCAAGCCATGCCCACTGTCTCTTCCTGCTGCCTGAGCATCAACATGTAGAACTCTCAGCTCCTTCTCCAGCTCCATGTCTGCCTGTGCGCCACCATGACAATAATTGGCTAAACTTCTGAAACTGTAAGTCAGTCCCAAATTTTCTAAGAGGTGCTGTGGTCACGGCATCTCTTTAGCAATAGAGCAAAGACTAAGACAGGCCTCCTTTGTCATTTTTCTCCTGGTTATTGTTATTTCTCAGGTCTAAGTTGAAATGAGACTCATTCTGTATGTTTTCCATGACACCTCACAGAGGGACATACAGACATACGTGTAACACTTTATTAAAATGTTACCTTGTCTACCTTTAAATAGCCTCTGGGCTCTGCGCAACAGGGGCTATATAATTTTTCTCTAGCTACTAACGTGTAAGAACATTTCCTAATACAGTACTTCATATACAGTAGTTATTCCACAAACAATTTTGAATGAATGAATGAATGAATAACTAAAGTGACTCATTTCCCTAATGCCAAATGTATTTGCAGTGAATAGCTGCTGACTGATATCTCTTGTCCTCAGAGAGCTCAGCCTCATGGAGTCCATAGACGTACTTCATATTCTTTCTAGGCTTTTCTTCATATTTCACTTGTACTAAAGTGATTGCTCTAAATTATAGCTGAACAATAATCACCTCAAATCTTGGTATATCCATTTTCGCCTGTCCTTTTAGCAGTGGGAATTGTTTGGGGTTCTCACGGATCATCACGCTCCATCTAAAATGAAATTTAAACACAAATGTTATTTAGGTCTCTGCTAATTACAAGTGAAATCAGAGTTCAAGAAAGAAGTCAAAGCATTCATGTGCTTGGGGAAGTGGCCTGCAGGGTGAACTCAAGCAGTATACATAACCTCAAAGCATACATAAGAGGAGGTTCTGCTTCACGACATCCCTAGGTGAGTATGATGGAAGGAATTTTTCTCAGAAATCTCAGAAATCAGTGTTTGTCAACCAGAGGTAGCATCATGAGCTCAAGAAATATTTTTATGGAGTATTTATGCTAGATCCTTGCCCAAGAACTAAGGAATAAGAATCCTTGTAATGGCCCCAGATTTGTATTTTGAAAACCCACACCTGACTTATAGTCCTATTTCTCAGATTATAGGATGATGATATTCTTTATTCTCTGGAGCAGAGAAAATATAAGCCAGCTGGCACTGAATCTCCTCCCCTGCTCCCCTTTTAAAGTTTCTCTGAGGGCCTGCTAATACTATAGATTATTTCTCAAGAGTCAGTATGCTTCCACTGGACAACTGACTATGCACTTTGAAGGACACTCAGCAAACCCTTGAAACCTGTCCACAAAGCCCCTGCTCTATGGTCTTTCTGGGGGGAGGTGGGGCTTCTACAATATTGCAGGGCTACATGGCTCTCTGGTTTCTCAATGGACAAGACCTTCCAAGTGAGCCCACCCTTTCATCACAAGGGAGCTGGGTTCTGGACTAAGATGATATAAATAGAAGAGGCACAAGGACATGGCCTTTTAGTCACTCACCTGTCTAGAATTCTCACGTTAGCCTGCTCTATTCTGCTGAGAATATCCAGTACGTTCTTGTTTTTATTCCAGAACGATCCCCAGCCAAGGACCCGAGCGAGATCGTTACCAGTTCCAAGCGGGATGACTGCCAGCTGACACTGCAAGAAAAATAGAGATGCTCTTTCAGATGGTCCTTCCACCATGTTCCACTCGCTGAAGGACTTTGAGGGTGCTCTTTGGGAAGGAATGGGCAGGAATTGGCCTTACAGCCAGGGGTTTTTAAAGAACTGCTTTATAGCAAGAGAAACAAGAGGGTATTTGGAGTTGAATGATATTTTTTCAAAGGAATTGGACCCCATTCTAATAACGGGAAGAACATGTTTAGATTGGTCAAGTTAACCATTAAGCTTGTAAAAGACACATTTATAGATAGGATGAGTGCAGACTTGGGACTTCTTGGACTAGACAGCTCCACATCCCCATTCTTTCTAGCAACGGTTAAACAGACTCAGCCAGACACTCACCCTATCATGCACGTCAAAGGCGTCAATCGTGGATAAGACCCAGCTCACGCTGCCATCTCCACCACAAACCAGCACGCGAAAACGACTAAAGTTCTTGAACATACAGATCCTGCAAGGAAGAAGGGGAAAGGGAAATCATTTCATGATGAATTGGAATTTCTGTTTCTCCCAGTCTATCAGGACCTAAGAACTCCTGCTTTGGCACCCTGCTAACGGGCCACTTTGCCTTCTCTTTCCATTAGCCTCGTACTCTCTGTTGATTTGGGACCACAGCTTCACAAGGCAATCTCAGAAATCAGATCTTGCCTCGACCATCTTATTTTATGCTTAGCTTTGCTCTGGAAGCCACTAATAATCTAGTCATATGCTGAGTCTCAAGAAGAATACTTTGCATGGCTGTTAGTGGCTCCCCAAAACCAGCACTGAATTGGTAGAAGATCCCATAGTAAAATAAGTCTGTAGTGAAATCCCTTTTCTTCGTCCTCTGATGTCAGAGGGCATAGTTTTCTGTCTTGCCAGTCAGAAAACGTGAAGCAAGTGTGGGAGCAGGAAAAGAGACTGAAGTGATTTCTGGGGAAGAGTCATATATTTGTGTATCTGCCTGGGTACAAGGACTAATCATTCTAGCCTAGAATGTGAATTGGTAGTAGACTGTTGTGTAAACCCAACCATACCTCTTTAGCCCATACTTACCCTGCTTCAGGTCCACCCTTCGCCAGGTCAAATACTTGAGACGGATTAAGATATTGCTTGAATTTTCGGAGGAAGATGATTCCTTGATGATCTCCACTTTTGGAGTTGACGAAGACAAGCAAGGGACAGGAACAAGTCAATGGCCAATCGAGGCTCCAGAAGTCAGGCGATACCACTAATTGGCCTGATAGACACACAAAAGAAAAAGAAAAAGCGCAATTGAGACGAGATAAGATATGACCTACATCACATTTTACAGAGACTCACTCTTATGTAAGATGGGTAGGGATGCTGAACTTTTAAAAACAGTGTTGTGCCTGGCAAAATCGAAGGCAGCTCCCACTAACTGACTGGTGGTTCCGAAGGCATTCTAAGCAGTTCTGCACATTTTCAACTGGCAACTACAAGGGAAATCGACTATCTTTCCTTAGCAGTATAACTTGGATGTAATTATCTCCCATAAACAAATGAAATACCATTATCAACAATTTTTATTGAAAGGTAAAATGGTATCATAATAGCAGTTTTCACATTAATTCATTCATTCACACATGCATTCATTCATGCATGCATTCATTCATTCAACAAATATGTATTGAGGATGTTCTCTGTGCCAGTTCTTATTTATATTGGTGGACAAAATATGATTCTTATTTTAATAAAGGCAAAGTTCAAGCCCCCAACTCTCTGATTCTTGGTCTGCACTGATGTGCGCAAGCTCATATGTTGCTGCAACTATGGAGTCACTTGCTGCCACACTTATCCCACCATGATGAACTAGACTGTATTTTTTCAAACTGTGAAATACATCCTTCTTACTTTAAGTTGCCTCTTGTGAAGCATATGTTCAGAGTAATGAGAAAAGTAACTAAATCACTGAGGAGAGGGATATAGGAAACTGAAGTCAGAGAGACAATAGATGCAAGATTTTCCTACAAAGAATTTGCATTATTTTTAAAGAAAACTATTGGCCTATGTAAATATGTTTTCCAGTAGAAAATTAAGAAATAGGAAGATGAAAATTATGTTAATATTACTTACAAGTTAAATAACCATGAGAGCAGAATGGAAATGATTGTTCTAGAATCGTCTTGCAACTTTGGGCACAGTATACTATACTATACCTTGTAGTATATTTCTATGTGAGAGACAGGTAGCTGTATGCTACAGTTGGTTGCCCCCTCCCCAGTTAATTCATTAAACTACAGGAACATCTTAAGTTCTCTAAGGGTGCATCTTCTCGTATGAATAATAGCAGCCTGTTGCAAAGATGAATGCATCGTGATCTGGGCTGCAGAAATGATAGATTCATACTTAGGTATCCAGGCTGACTCATAAGGTTGCTCTGAAGTGGCCGATGTCCTGTACCATTTCACAAGTTTATTCTGTAGTTCAGATGAGAGCACAGAAAGCTGGCCTGTAAAGTATGAAGTACCCCAGAGTTGAGAAAGAGCTACTGGATGATGAAAATCAAGAGCAGAAAATGGCCTCAACCGCCATATGAGTCAGAGTAAACAGGTGGGTAAGTGTGCACCTTTGTCTTCATGTTCAGGCTCAAGGACATAAATTACTCTGGGACAGAACAATAGAGACTTGGCTTGGCAGATTCAAGTGGGAAAGAGCACAGGGGCTTTAGGATATGAGTCAAAACCCTGAAGAGCCTCTTAAGAAGAGCTCATGCTTTTGTTCGGCTGCACTAATCCAGTCGCCTAAGCCAGGGGACCACTAGTCTCACTGCCGTTCACTGTCTTCGCGCCACAGAAGGATGCTAAATTGGCGTAAGTCCTGCTTCCTGTTGCCCTTCCTATACTATTAAAAGTCATCTTTAATGATGTTTAAATAAATTTAACCTTTGTAATGGACCTGAGCATTTCTACATCTGTAGAAAGAAGTGACAAATGACACCATGACCTAGGCCCACCCTTCCAGCTTGAAGAAGGTTATGGAGAATGAGTTCTCAACACTATGTGGTAGCAAACATGTTCTGTAATAATAACACAATAATTATGACTTTTGCTACAATATTAACAAAAATTAAACAATTTCTGATAGTTAATTATCTATTCACCCAACAAGTGTTGACTGAATACTCATCAAACAGTGGACGTAGCTCTTAGCTGAACGTATAACAGAGATTAAGGAGTTTCTTCTTTCTGTCAAGACAGAGCTGTCGTATTCCCCACCTATACAGGGAACATTCCAGGGGACACAAACGCCTGAGTGCCAAGTATTTGTTAAGTGAACACCAACTCTAATTTAGCACTTAAAGATACAGTTGTTGATGTAAAAGTACGGAAAGAACCGAACTTTAAGAAGATACCCACATATTTGTTCTTTTACTGTACCTAAAAGAATTATATATAACTCTTGTGGTCAGCAAATAAATGATGGCTTATCTAATTCCTTTAAGCTCTACACTAAAAAAAAAAAAAAAAAAAAAACATGTCTAGGAGATACTGTGAGGATTTGCTGTCTTTATGAACGCTCTGATATGATCACCGAGTTTGTGGACATGGCAGCTGGTAGACAGCAGAATAATAGCAGAATGGTGGTCATACAATAAAATAGTGTCATGGCAGAAGCTTCATTAGGGCCTGCTTTCCTAGGTCATCAAAACTGAGTCATGCACATTTCTGTATTACATGTTTTGTTAAAGAAACTTTAGTAACAGTGGGAAACTGAGGAATAGAAACACATTAAATAACTTGTCTAAGATCGCGCAGTAAATGATAGGGCATGTTCAGAGGACTAGCAGTATAGAAAGCATTAGGGAACTTCTCAGAAATGCTTCTCACCCAGGTGTGCTGAGTCAAAACCTCTGAGGATGGGGCCCAAAACGCTGTGTTTTAATAAATTATTCCTGATGCATCTGATGCATGCTTATGTTTAATAACTACTGTGTGAGTTCCTACTTTACTGTCCAGGAAGTAATTAACTTGGGGAAGTGGGAAGAGACCATTTGAGAAGTAATAGAAGGTAATACTTGATTTGAGCTATACCCTAAAGGAACTTATTAAAGACTAAGTAGAGAAAAGTGGGTAATAGGAGGTCTTGAAAATTATTCGGAGCCCCTTGATGGAATCAATGAATGCAGGAATGAATGCGCAGCAGCACTGTCAAAGGCCACCGCAGAAGGTCACCATCTGCTTGCTGGAGAAAAGCTTTCTAGCTTGACTGGGAGGCTGGAGTGGATTAACCACAATACCACCACTAAGATTCTGTGACCGAGAAACACAGAAGAAGATTCCCCTCGAATGGAACATCACATAGGGAATCCTACTCCTTTGAGGGCTTATTTGTTGAGGCTAAGAAGCCCAGGAAGAGTTGAGAAGAAAGGGAGTTTTTTAAAGCCCTTTTTGAGGAAGTCCAGGTTATGTAATGCACGGTAGAAAAAAAGGGTTGTCAGTGTGATATCCAAGTGGACCAAGATTGCTGCTACATGAAAGCCAAAATTAAAAGATGCTTCATTGCACACTAGATGACACAAAATAACAGCCTAGTCCAGGCTCTTCTATGTAAGGGAAAGCAATGCCATTAGCTGATGATCCATAACAAGAATCAGACGTGCTGTTGGACAAAAATAACCTCACAGTTGATATAAACAATAAACTTCTACAAGGACAGAAAGCTCAGAACATGCTTGACTTGGGCACAAATAGTTACCATCCCCATTAATATACAGTTGGGATGATCTTGTGGGATGCTATCTCTAGGTAATAGTAAAGGAAACAGGAGCACAAAACCTAAGATTTTAGTCTGAATTCCATCATCAGAGAACTTCCTCTTGCAGTAGATGAAAACAAGTACAGGGACCCTCAGCCAGATATTATGGAGAGAGGGGGGGAGGGAGGGAGGGAGGGAGGGAGGGAGGGAGAGAGGGAGGGAAGGAGAGAGAGAGAGGGGGGGGGAAGAGAGGGAGGGGGAGAGAGAGAAAGAGAGAGATCTTGAACACACACAAAACCTAAGGTTTTAGCCTGAATTCCATCATCAGAGAAACTTTCTCTTGCACTCTTGCAGCAGATGGAAATAAGTACAGGGACCCTCAGCCAGATATGAGAGGGGGGGAGGGAGGGAGGGAGGGAGGGAGAGAGAGAGACAGAGACAGAGAGAGAGACAGAGAGAGAGACAGAGAGATCTTGAACACACAGTTCCAAATGAGATTTCTCCATCAAATCCCTCCCATCAGGACTCAGGGACCCCATAGAAGGGAGGCAAAAAGAGTGTAAGAGCCAGAAGAGATGGAGGACAACAGGAGAACATGGTCCTCTAAATAAACATGAGCAAAGCTCAAATGAACTCACAGAGGCTGAAGCAACAAGCACAGGGCCGGCACATGTATAGGTCCTTCATGTATGTATTATAGCTTTCAGTTTAGTGTTTTTATGGAAGTCTTGAGTGTCTGCACGAGTGGGTCCCTGCCTTCTGCCTTCTTTTGGGACTCCTTTACTTCTGTTGGTTTGTCTTGTTCAAACTCAGTGTAATGTTTTTGTTTCATCTTATACTGTTTTATTTTGTTATGTTTTATTGTTATCTCTTAGAGACAGAAAAGGAGTGAATCTAGATAGCAGGGGAAGTGATAAGGAACCGGGAGGAGTGGAGGGAGGGGAAACTGTAATCAGGACATATTGTATGAAAAAACAATCTATTTTCAATAAAAGGGGAGAAATGAATGAATGGTAATAATGCAAGAAAAAAGTAGGTTGACTTGGTGAGCAGCCTGAATTTTTTCAGGTGATTAGCTTGTTACTTTTCTCCATTTATCAATTCCATTTTCCCTAAATCTCTTCATTCTTTTTTTCTAGTCAATCATCTCTCATTAATAAAGTTATCAATTTCTTCTCCTCTTTAGTCGATTGTCTAGTAGATGATGTTATGAAGATAAATATTTGAATAGATCTGAGAATAATATATTTATGCATCTCTGAATGAATTAGTTTTTGTTTCTTTATATGGTACTATGAGGCACATGCTTACACTTGCTTCAGACACCTCTGGAAATGGCTCACTCAATAGCCTGATGCTTGTCTGCACCCATATTTTTTGTCAATATTTTTGACACTTACCTGATATCCAAGTGTCTCTATTATTGCTTTGATACTTAAAATATGCACTATTCAATTGTTGGTAGTGATGTTATACCAAGACCCTGAATTCATCATGATTACTTACTGTATAATGTCTAATTTAGAACTCAAGAACCATGTGAAAATAACTTTTAATAAATTCCTATTGACCGGAAAGTGACAAATTATCAGTGAAGAGTACTGGGGCAAAAACCATGCTAGTCTCATATTTGGTAAAAATTCTGATGTTAGTTTCCATTTTAAACATAATGTAACCTAGGTTTTCCATAGGTTTTGAACCATTGTATCAAAAGTCTATGAGATTTATTTCCTAGAATAGGTAGTATTTGAAAATCTTTTCAAAACGTTAATAAAATTGAAATTAATTTTGAAAAGTCAGAAAGAATTTTGACAGTCTACAGAGAACTTGCCCATACACAATACACATACACCAGAGCACTATACTCGTCACTAAAATGTTTGAAGGTTTAACAGTTAGCTTTTTGATGCACACATACAAATTCACATTTACCCCAGATAATTTGCTAGTTGTGGAGAATAATTCATGTCATCCTTCCCAGCCTTTATACCTTCCCTCCCTCCCCAGTGTATTTCTGAAGTAAAGGTTAACCTACTCACCATCGCCCCGAGGGTCGCACAGCGCCGTAGGTGGTACGATCGATGCGCGACGACTTCCACAGGAACATTCCTTGGAAAACCACCTCTGGCAGGCGCCGTGCACCTGAAACGATAAGAGCACAAGAGAAAAAGGAGGGGGAGAGAGAAGAAGAAAAGATTGATTAGTCTTCGGTTCCATCCCAAGAATTGGGCCTTTTCTATTTCAAGTCTCCTTTTCTGACACTGGTACTATCTACATAAACCTTAACTCACCTGACACCACCCGACCCCATTCTACTGTGAAACTGCAATATCACTTAGGGTGTAGAACTATGGCCCTTTCAAAGGTGTCTTTCCGAAGATTCCCAACTACAGCTACTGCACTGTCACCAGCCTTAGTAGCCTGCAGAATGGGAAATTTCATTGTATTTCAAAAGTCCTAATCCTGATAGGATGTTTATACTTCAATCTTTAGAACAACTGTATGTGGTGGGGAAAGCATCACTGAGCTCATTTTAGACAGGAGCACATGCGAAAGCCCACAGAGGTCAAGGGTCTTAGTCAAGGTCAAATAGCTGGGAAGTGTCAAAGCAGACTTCCGGGCAAGCTGCCACTTTTCCTGGATGTCAAACCTCTTTAAGCTCCACATTCTAAACAATTTCACTTTCTAGGGACATGAGCCTGGCATGGCTATTCAAAGGGAATTAAAAAGAGGCCAGTGGACATAATACTCAGGGAAGAAGCTCACTTCAGTTTCTTCTTATCTTAGAAAACTCAGTTTGAGAGAAACATCTAACCTTAGAAAGTCAAGATCAGAGTCTCTCGATCTCTGTAATATTGATTGTTTTTGGCTCTGTAATATTGATTGTTCCTTGTTATAAAATACTATCCTGTGCATTATAAGTTTTGAAGAGTCTACGAGATACAAGTTGCATCCTTCCCATTCAGTCCAGGTTTGGCCATCAAAAATGTCTCTGGATATTGGAAAATGTCTACTGGAGCAAAAATTATCCTCAGTTGAGGTCTAATGTTTCCAAGACGTGGTATTATTATAGTTAGAATTATGTTCTTATTAGAATTATTTATTAATCAAGACTTTATTTTTGCTGGCCATATGACCTTGGGTCTATCTTTTTGAGCTCCACATTACTCATATGTAAAATGGGGACAATGAGGCTTATTTCAATGTTGTTCTAATGATTGAGATCATGAATAGAAAATATTTATTACACAGTGGCAATGATAATTTTTAGATCATTGTTATTAACCATTATTAAAGATTATAAGTTTCTAGGAAATAATGAATGAGGGAGGAATCTTTTCTTAAGGATAGACTCCAGAATTTATTTCTAGTTGTTCATATAGTCATTTGAGAATTCAACTTTTCTCATTGACAGAATGGCTTCATTAATAATAAGCATCAGATTATGAACACTTTAAATCTTTCTCTCAAAGACTCCCTCGTCGTATACAAAAGGGAAGTTACTGAGCTCTGTACTATGGAATCTATATAATGCATTTTGTTGTAAGGGTCTCTGAGATAAATATCTATTTACTTATTTATCCCTGTATAGCTATAGACAGTCCCCAATCTACCTCTTCTCTAGGAATAAGCTTCAAGTATCAAAGCTATGAAAAGAGACTCACCGTAGACGCGCACCAGAGGCAGCGAAAATCCAGAAGCCTTTGATGACTACCGAAGCTCTCATGACATACTGCACAACGAGAGTCGGCAGGTATGTTTCCTTCTACCAACTGATGGGGCATTGTTTGCTAAAGTGGAAAAAGGCAAAAGACAGAAATTAGTGATCAAAGAAGTAAGACTGGGCTAATTATACTCCACACAGAGAACATGAGCTAAGAGTCTCTTGGACCTGCCCTCAATGCTATTGACCAATGAAAGGTGGCAGTTGGGGCTTAACTCAATGATATTCATTGGGTCATTGGATCCTATGGAAGAGGAAGAGACTGCTGTGCTGGTCTAGTGACAGGAAGAATTCTTCCGTTCCCTGTGTGTCATGACTTTAAATGAGTCGGAGAAGGTGTCCGTGGGAGGATATGGCTGGTACTTACTATTTCATCAGCAGGTAGAAAGAGGTCATCGGTTACGGACAAAGTATTCCACTTGCAGTCTTTGCTCGCTCTCAATGCACAAAATTTGTGTGATTTCACCTTGCAGACTGTGAAAGGAGGAAGGAGAAAATAGGTGAGAGTCTAGTAACAATGAGAACTCTAATTCCCTTCCTTAAGCTTCTCTAAAGGTTAGAATCCAAGCACTTTCCATATAGTTTTGACCTACTTCCAAAGGTCTACTTCTATGTAAACCAGTTCCTTTAGATTCTTGGCTAGCTAGGCTTCCTGTTACTCATTTTACATTAAAATAAATAGTAGGAAAGAACTGATTTCTGGCTTTTCAATCCTTCTGACCATATAGTCCCATCTTCATATATCCAACCCTCCGTTTTTATTCATGAGAACACCCCTTCAAGCAAGTTTCTTTTTCCCTCCCACAGGATTAACTTCACACAAAGACTTAGATTGGGTCTGCAATGCTAGGCAATAGGAGACCCTTCGTGCCTAGCTCTCTCCAGTGAGCTCTGCTTTCTAATGGAACAGAAAGGTACCTTCACAGATGATGGTATCTCGAGATAAGGCAGGAATGTTCCGGCGACAAACATTGCAGAACTGTGTCCGAGGACTATGGCTGGAATACCAGTAGTGCATTCCGATAAGGTAAGGATTGTTTTCGGCTGCGGGTATCTAAAGCAAATCAAAGAGAAGAAAAAAAAATGGAGGTTAACCACAGAGGTGGACTCGGGAAGACCACAAATTCTGCTGCTAGGGCTAATATAGCCCTAATGTAGGTGACAAAGCATGTGAAAGAGAGGGCCGGTAGGTACAGCTCCCACTTTTTGTTTTAATTTCTTTTGATTACTGGCTTCAGAAGGGAAAAAATTAGATGGGAATTATTTCAAATAGGGACTTAACACAGAAGCAAGGGTCTTTCTTTATCTTGCTCAACCACTATATTAGTTTAGTCCAAGCAAAACTTGTTGATTGGTCTTGGCTCTCTTTAAATAGAAAGCAGAATAAAGAGGTGAGCTGGAAATTGAGGGCTATCCAAATTCTCAGACAAAGCAAGGCAGGTGTAAGCCTCACACACAGAACTCGGCAATACCTGCAAGGCTTTCGCTTTCTTCTTAATACAGCTGCCAAGTGAGCAGAACATTACTCTACTTGGACAACACTTGAAAGACCTTTAAATCCTCTTTGCATGAGCTTTTTCCTTTTTTGAAATCCATGCTTTGACTGCCTACAGCAGTTTCTTGGTTAATCATTTTAATTCATCCAATGAGTTATTAAATAAATACTTCCTGAATCACTATTACATGCTTGCAACTTTTCAAAGCATTTGAGATATAATCATTAACAAGACACAGTCCTTGTCCTTATGGTGACATTTTGCTTACTGTCTTCTTTCATACTAATCACTTTAATCTTTTTGTTATCATGCCTGTGAACACAGCATCTGCATATCGCAGCCTGACATTCACCACTACAGGAAAGGCATAGCCTAGCCGTGTATCAGCAATGGTTTGAGTTGCATGGATGTATAGACACTGGATCCCCCTGACTTTGTTCTGTGTTTATTTTCACAGGACTTCCACTGTCTTTTCTCTAGTTCCTATGAATGTCTCAGTTTCTACTGCCTTTTTTTTAAAAAAAAAAAAGTTTAGGCATAGACTCACAAAGGTTTTTTTTTTTTTGTCACTATTATAATGGGTTGTGCGTATAAAGGCATGGTAAGATTTTGAAAGAACAATACATTCTTTCAGATGTAAGGTGACAATAGTCCCTTAAAAGGGTTGCTGTTGAGGGCTCAGACTTAAGTTTGCACTTAGTCCATTTATTGGAATTAACCAACCAAGACATAGACTGCAGATAATGCTTTCTGATCGCTATTCCCCACGGGTATGCTGGCAATGTGGGAAACTACTGTTGAACTGAAGCGGAAGTTTATTTGGTAAAAAAAGCTACTCTCATGATCTCATAATTTGGAATTGCTTTGCGATGGGAAGTTTATCATACAGTGACACCTGAAAAGCTCTAGGTCTAGAAACACAAGACTGGAAGGCACAGAGGATTGACACTGGCACTCTGAGCTCACAGTTCCTTTCTATTCCAAAGGCTGCTGTCTATAACTAAACAAGCCCCTTTCCTCCTCCCATTTTCCTTCTCTTCCATCCAAATTACCAGGAACCTATGACCGTATGTTGTGTAACATAATAAGCACTGGAGCTACAGAGATCAGTAAGTCACATAGATAAAGGAACTCACTCTACTGAAGGAAACTAACTCTCAAACAGATAGTCACAACATGGTGACAATACATTTTTAAAGACTGTACAAGGCTCTACAGGAGCAAGCAGGAGAAATGAAAAACTCTTAATTATGTATTAACTATAATGGAATTCATATTTAATGGACATTGCTTGGGTTCAGTTGTTAAGAGAGTGGGATTTAGATCTCTCATATTCATCTTATTCTGTGAGAAAAGTTTGATGCAACCAGTCCTGGATGAGTATGTGTGGTAGTTTGAATTGTATGTCCTCCAAAATCCATTCAAGTCCTAACCTTTGGTACCTGAGAATATGACTTTATTGGGAACCACTATCCTAACAGATGTAACCAAGTGGGACTTAATTCAAGGACTTGTGTCTTTCTAAGAATAAGAAAGTATGGAAAGAGATGCAGTCAAAGAGGAGAACACCTTGTGGTAATATACGGTATACAGACACACAAGAGAGAACATCACGTGACAGTGGGTGCAGAGAGTCAATAATCCACCTGCAAGCCAAGAAATATTAAGGTTTGTCTGTAATCACCAGACTGTAGGAAGAGGCAAAGAAAGATCCTCTTTCTAGAGCCTTCAAAGAGACTCGCACCCTTTCATGAACTCAAATCCAGATCTCTACCTGCTAGAAACATGAGAACATAACTGCTGTTCAGTCCACCCAGTTTCTGGTTGTTCCAGCAAGCCTGGAAAAGGAAGAAAGATTTTCAAATTGAGATGCAGATGTTTCTGTATCCGGCACTAACAAGAGGAGAGTGCTGTGACAGTTGTCTAGTATATCAATACTATGAGTTTTGAGACAGATGATCTTGAGAAGACTACACTGCCTTGAGTAGAGTGCTATTAGGAATACAAACTGCTTCTGGAACAGTCTCCAATGCAAACAAGAGGCATTATAAGAGGGTGGCAGAAAGGACACTTTTTAGAGTGGAAGAGAACCATTTCATTGTCCTGTTGGATGAAAGCTGTGTGTTCAAATGGTGAACTTGAACTTTTGGCTGTCAAAACTTTCAAGCAAAGTATGAAGGTACAGTCTGTTTTCTTTCTGCTGCTTACAGAAAATAAAAGAGGAAAGAGATATGTTGCTGTGGAAACCGTTCTTAGTCTACTTGGCTTTCCATATACAGAGTGGGTGGCTTAAACAATGGAAAGCTATCTTCTCACTGCTTGGAGATGGGGAAGCTCAAAAGCAAACAATCAACCAATGTACTTTCCAAGGCCTCCTTCATGGCATGGATATGGCCACTTTCTCTATCTGCTTGCACGGTTTTTACTTAATACAGGAATATGAAGAAAGAAAGTGATCCTTGGTTGTTTTTTTTTTTCTCATGAGGCCATCAGCCCTACTGGATTTAGTCCCCATGTTTATGGCTACACTTGACATTAATCACATCCTTCAAGTCTTATTTCTAAGCACAGTCACATTGGAGCTTAAGCTTCAACATATGAATTTGGGGTAGGGTTACAGTTCAACTCATAAAAGAATTACTAAGTAAAAAGTGGGCAGACCTTGAAGATTTGGCAACTCCTCAATCTATTTGTATTTTAAGCACAAAATAGTCACTCTGGTGTCAACATCCAGGGTATGGGTAGACAAAGCTTTTCTGGGAAGATTCAGTATGGGACACTAGGTTTAAATCAGTGATCTCAGCAGAATACGGTTGCCGTAGACTGAAAAGCTCAAGACACAAGACTCGATGAAAGGAGGTTATAAGACTAGTGAGACTCTATAGCAGCCAAGTGATGAAGAAAGCTATCCTGCTGTGGGTTTGCATTGTTCCTTCAAGAAAACAGAATAATGGGTTCCAGTGATGACTTGGAGGCCAGCAATGCTGGTGAGAGACTCCAGTTAGTTATTTTGGCCAACATGGGAGTATGGGCCTATTGGAGGAAGTCATTGCCTCTTTCGTTCCAGAGGGTGGGGTTGTCTCCTAGATTCCAGAAGGTGGGGTTGCTTATTTTTGTTACAGAGAGAAGACACCACTCGGGTGGGCGGAAAGACTGAAGTCAGGTGACAACACTGAGCCACAGAAAATTAGCTGTAGGCCTATAAGCCTAATGAAACTGCCTTTCTGGATCGCCAGCTGTCTTTAGATAAGCAGCCCTTTTAGTCCTTCTATTTTCTCCATTTCAGAATGGGAATATCTGTCCTCCACTACTTCCAATGCAGAAATTTAAAAGCAGATACATTGTTTTGGAGGTGTCACATGCCCACAGGTAGAGGAGAAATATTGCCCCCGAAAGGAACATACACAGAGTCTAGAAAGGAACATGCAAAAAGTCTTTCTGGTACCTCACTGGTATTCTTAGAAAAAGAGAAATTTGAGTACAGACAAAGAGAGAACAACCTGGGAAGCTACAATAAATAAATAAACAAATGCACAGGAAAGCACAATGTGATGGCCCAGGCAGAGACTGGAATGGTACATGGCGAGTCCAAGAACACCAAGGATTTCCAGTAACCACCAAAACCTCGGAAGGGGCAAAGGATTCCTCCTGAAGGCCGTCAGAGAGACATGACTATACTCACACTCTGATTTTGGGTTTCGAGCCTCCAAGATAAGAGAAGACATTTTTGTTTTTGTGTTTTACATTTCTCCAGTGTAAGAGAATACATTTCTGTTTTTTGTTTAGATTTAAAGCAGGGTTTCATGTAACCCAGACTGTCCTCAAATTTGCTAGTTAGCCGAGGATGACCTTGACCTTTTCTTAAGTTATAAGAATATAGGGATTTATAAATTACACCCAATTTGTAAATTTGTGTCCTTTAAGTCCCAAAATTTTTTGGTAATTTGTTATAGCAGCCATGGATTGGCATAGGATGTCACTACAGGTATTTCTATTTGCTGATATGGATTTTTAAAAATCAAATTTGACAGTAACTGATGGAAGCAGATACAAAGATCCACAACTAAGCCCTGGACTGAGCTCCTGGAGTCCAGTAGAAGAAAGGGAGGAGAGATAATATGAGCAAAGGGATCAAGACCATGATGGAGAAACCCACAGCAACAGCTGACCTGAGCTAGTGGGAGCTCACTGAGTCTGGACTGACAGCTGGGGATCCTGTATAGGAGACTGAACTAGGCCCTCTGAATGTGGGTGGCAGTTGTGTGGCTTGGGCAATTTGTGGGACCACTGGCAGTGGAACCAATATTTATCTCTATGGCATGAAATGGCTCTTTGGAGCCCATTCCCTTTTGAAGGGATACCTTGTTCAGTCTAGATACGGGGTGGGGGGGGCAGGGAGGTGCGTGGGGGCATGCGGGGAGCAGGGGGCTTGGTCCTGTCTTGAATGATGTGACAGACTTTGTTGACTCCCCATGGGAGGCCTCACCATCTCTGAGGAGTGGATGGGGGTGGGGTGGGGAGAAGGAGGGGGAAGCAGGAGGGAGAGTGGACTGAGGTT